CGTTGAATCACTTGGGTGTTAGTCAGAGTTACGTGGAAGCCGAAATTACTCTTCCTGTTGCCTTGTGCTTTGCTGTTTGACGCAAGAAGCTGTTCGATTTTAATTGAACTTTAGTGAAGTGAAATTCTTTTTGCAGCTACCATTTACAAGGAAAACGAGCGTGCAATAATTATTTTATAATGGCAATTTACTACCACCAATTACCTCCATCAATCTGATCATCGATAATCCTTAATTGACTATTCGTTAGAAAATAATTACAAAGATAATGAACCCTACTTTCTTTAGTATTAATAATGAGCAAGCACTTAGGTTAAATGAAGAAATAAAACGTATTCTGAATAATTACAATTTTAACGTGTCATTCTGACACTGAAGATAATTAAAATTTATAAACTTCAGATTAAAGAACTCGATAATTTATTCAGAATTTCTGACGATCTAAGCTGACAGTACTTCGAGCAAACTATTTAATCCGATTAAAACCGATTTGCAAATCAGTTTCCTCTATTTATTTTATAGAGTTTGATAGTTTGCTAAAAATGATACAAACAGCTGTTCAACCACGTGACTAGATACTTAACCATTTCTATTTCATTGTTGGACGTAATTGAAAAGCATTGTGCTCGACTTATTACATAACTCGTTCGATTACGTAAGAATTGAGTTTGGTTACGCTTTGAAGGTGAGGAAGAAAAAGGAAAAGGTATACACGTGTGCCGAGGAAATGAGTCAGAATTCGGAAATTCACGGCAATTGTTGAAGGAAGATTTCTATTCTGCATGGACGATAGGTATTAGAATTCAGAAATAGGTAGTGGTGGGAATTATTTAACGTGGTCACTGTCAGATTTAGGAATAGGTATTTTGGTATTTAGGTATTTGGGTACTTGGGTGCTTGAAAACCTAGATTCTTAGGTATTTGGATACTTGGGTGCTTTGGAACTTGAGTACGTAGTTAGGCATTTGAATACATGGAGATCTAGATATTTATGTACCTGGATACTTAAATATTTGGGTATTTCAACACCTAAATACTTAAACACATGAGGAAATAAATAATCCAGGAATGGGTTAAAAGAGAAAGTAACTTGATTTTCTATACGTTCTTTTCTATTTCCTCGACATTTAATGATCATAATCACAGATTCATCGTATAACTGTTATGAAAGAGATTGCGAACTAGGTGAAAAGCAAGCCTGTTTTCTTACTCGAACCTTAAACACGCTCGTTTTTCCTCGACAAATGAAAGCGCGAATGATCGCAATGTTTCATGTGAAAAGATTGCTGTAAAGTGAATTTCTAACTAGAAAATCATATTCTATTTTGCTATAATGTTGAAGTTTAATTCAACAAACAAAATCGTTCATTTTCCATTGAAGCAAACAAGAAATGAATTTCAATCGGGATATTTCGAAACAAAATTCACCGATAATTGAACGTACAATACAGTGTTAATCTGACAAATTTTCAATCAGAAAATCGTACGATCAATTAAAATGTATCACTTTCAACCAATCGTGGATTTATTAAATATAGATATACCAATATTATTTTTCCCTCCACTATTTCATCCTGAATAATATATCATTTGGCTTTAATTATTGCTTGATTGTCAGCGCGTTTATTATGACACAAAGGATATTGAGAATTTTAATTGCCTAATTAAACATCTATTGCACGAAGTTATTGATAGCCCCATTTTCCCAGTGAACACTTGAAAAGGAATATTATTTATTTTTCTTTTTTTTATAAAATAACTGTGGAATCTAGTATCGTGTATATTTCTAATAGTCATTTCCATTCGTATGTTTAATTTACATTAATTAAATCCAGCCTTGCGTCAGATATTCAAAATTCAAACAAAACTACACCAGCAACTTTCTCTTTATTATATTACACTGTGCTGCACCAGAATTCAAATTCACCACAATTGTTACCCATTTCAAAGAGAATGTTCTAATTCGAAGGAAGATCTGCGTGTGCTTGCTAACGAATCCTACACCCCGCTGAATCTCTTCTTCTTTTTTATTATATTACAATTAATGAAAACAAGGGCGGAGGGATATTAGAAAATAGAATTGTGTAAAAAATGAATTACAGAATGCACAATTCTATTCTTGCCAATATGAAATTATTTTAACCAAAGTCGATGTAAGACTTCATATATGGGGCGCAAGGATCTTGAAAATTTCTAGACGACGTCGTTTGAAAATGTTTTACGAGAAGGAAAACAAGCGAACCGTCCATGACACGGATGGATTCATAAAAATTGCAACGGACGAGTTTAGAAACTGATCGATGCCGGGAGAAACAATCTTGCTGCTCAACTTCTTCATCTGCTCGACTCTCGATAAAACGTCCAATTGCATTTTTACAAACCGACAAGTGTCTCATATATTTTTTATTTTACAATTTTTTGAAACATCTAAGAATCTGAAAAATCATTTCAAACAGGCAAGAATAAAATGAAACATTTTTTTCTAAATTCTTTCAATGTGTTAGTTGCGCGTGTCGCTTTTAACAATGAAAGGGTTAAACTCAGCTACGACTACAACGCAACGAAACCGCTATCAAGTATTGAACTTGATCCAGTCACCAGTGGCTCGTTATTCGCGATGCAAGGTCCGACTTCTAACGAGCCAACACGCGCATGAGTTAATAATTATGCGCTTTTTTTTTTTTTTTTTCTAACCGTCATGCCTGTTTATCATATCTAAAGTAACGTCGAGAAATCTTACGCACGCCCACTCGCGGTTACCGCTACGCTGGTAATTAACACGTGGGATAATTAATCGTGAATAATCGGAACACGAAGGGCAGTTTCCGTAAAACGTTTCCCTAGTACTATCTTATCTTGTCTAACTTTCTTTTCCATGATTACACAGGTATAGTCCCCGGGGTTGAAAAACTTTAGTCAATTAATTTCTCACACGTGCGCTCGTGAAAATATCAAGTTTTGATTAATAAATTATTGGAAAATTTTATAAATCATAATTTAAGTAGCTATACGAAAATTGAACAGTTAATTAGCAAGAGGATAATTAATTCATTAACTTCCCACGTGTGTACTCGTGAAAGTGTTAAATTTTGATTAATAAATTTTTGGAAAAATTTTAGAAATCAAAACTGAAGTAATTGAAGGGTTAATTAACGAGTGCAGTACAAAAATAGGAAGTGGTTGAAATTTAAGGAACACAACTCGTCTATCGAATGCCTAGTCTCAAATGATTCAGAACGCGGTGAATCATCGATGCAGATCGGAGAAAGCTACAAGCAGTTTATATACTTTCCGAATCGAACTATTTCAAGTTGAAGGATCCAGACCATGAAAGATAAACGATACTTCCGTTAACATTAATACACGCCAGAACTGGCAACCTGTCTAGGACTTTCTATCCTCTCGGACCTGCTATATCTCCCTCAAGATTCATGGGCTCGACGTCAGCTTCGATTCCGAGGAATCAGCGAAATAGGACGAACCGCTAGATGCCTGTTACATTTTTGCAGAATCTTTTTCATAGGCCAGTTTCATACAGAAACGTTTCGACGATACGTCAACAAACTCGTTGAGAAATAAAAAAAATATATAAAACAGACCTACTTTGCATATCTCGTATGCTCATCTTGTATTTTTTACTTCTTTAGAATTCTGAATATTCTTTAGTACACAGAATTTTGTTTTGAAACGATGATTTAGAATCTACATGATAATCCTACATTTTTATTCTACTTATTTGTTTTTTATTATTTAAAGAATATTCAGATTTATGTTTCCGTGTAAGTTTCCAAAAATTCTTTGACAATATTTCATATTGTAATGTAAAATGAAATGGAAATGTATTTTAGAAAAAGAAATAAATAAATGTTAATTCAAATTTTCCCGCGTGAACGTTTCTACGCAATTGGTCCGCCCCCGCCCTATATATATAAGGCCCCTTCTTCGCTACACTGTCAGTATCCCCTGGAACGCCAAGGAGTAAAGATGGAAGACCGGGGCATCGCAATTTTTCTCGGGGAAACCTGATTTGATCTCAAGTGTACAGAATAAAAAATTTGTAAATTTATCTAAGTTTAATAAAGCGTTAAATTTTCCTTTTGTCTCATAATGAAACCTTCCGACCCAGTATCCAGCTCTCGAAATTATTATTCCAAAGCGTGCATACTCGTTGAATAATTTCAACGAGCAGCCGCACAATAGTGCTATGGATCCCGTGTGAATGGCCTGACGGAGAATCGTTCAATTATGCAATAACCATTCGTCCAACTTCGACGGAGGCACGAAACAAAGCTTCTCTATTCAACTGAAATTTTCCTTTTCCAATTTTCCTCTTAACCGATCGTAATCGAACGTCGTAGATTCTGACAGGACAGATATACGAGGTTAGATATAAAAATTCAACAGGGTAGATTTCGAAAAATCAAAGGGTTAACAAGTTCGAAACCGGGGTAACCAGGTGCACCCTTATTTCTGTGATTTATCGAGGGTAGATATACCCAAAACGGAGACCGAGTATATTAAGATCAAATCCAAACGAATTGTATCGATCTTTCGCGTCATATCTCTGCGAACATTGCCAGCACCTCGAGGCTCTTTCGAAATCCACTTTTGTCCCGGTTGATATGGGAAATCGTTCGAGGACGTGTCATTGCAAAGTTTCGGGGAAAACAAGAGCTGACGCTATCTACGCTCACGCGTGGGAGACGGTGGCACCGTTTCGATGCTGAACAACGTATTGTTTCACGGTTTACAACTATATCAATAATCTTTGCCAGCGAGAATTTCACACAAGAAAATTATTCTATCGCTCCTATGATACGGCACGTGGAACTCTATTTATATCTTACACGACTGTTATTCAAATTCAGGTTTTCCTCGAGCTTTTATAAAAAAATATTATATCCTGATCGTTAAGTTGAACCGTGGGTAATCCCAGAGATGATGAAATGAAAATTACAAATTAAACGTCGAGGAAAGAGGTGGAATTGAAAATCGCTCACCGTTCGATTTTGTCCATCGTGGTGGGATGCTGCAAGACGGTTTGCTGTCCGGACATTTCGACCACGCATTGTGTACCGAGTTCCAGCTCTGAAACAAACAAAAATACAATGTTAGTCCAATTGATAATATAGGAACTTCACGGAATATGAAATGAAAATTTACGTATATATACGCTAATGAGACAAATGTGCAGTGTCTGTACGGATGAGACGCGATCGAACGAGAATCCTTCTAACGGCAAAGGGAAGAAAAAAAAGAAGCGATGAAGCAACGACAGACAAAAGGAGGGATGATCGAAAGAAGCAAGGTACGATACAAGGAAGCCATGCATGTGGTAACGTCTTATGACAGTCGCGAGTCATAACGCTCATAACATTCAACTCAGCGTGCATACGTAATCGTGTAAGGCAGCAAATCCATACTAAACGACCACTCGCCTTAACTTTATTCAAACGCTCGTCCGGCCGCACAGATCGATCCGAGTAACACATGTGTTCATTCATGACTCACTGATCGCTTCGTACGAACCTTCTTACACTTTGAAATTTTCTACCAACTTCGCTTTTTACCTCCATCCATCGCTATTATCGATCCATCCCTTCACCTGGTTTAACAAATTCGCTTGCCACGGTGGGACTCCCGTTCTCCCGTGCCATTTCATCACAGAAAATTATTACAAAATAATAATTGCGATACGTCGATTTCAAGTTTCAAGTCTCGTGTACGTCACTGTACAAAAGTTTTTTCAAAATTTTCAATGTAAAACAAATGGTTGTTGATTGTATCGAATGATTGACTGTCAGAAATGAAATAATAACTGTTTGCGATTTAAAGAAAAAATTCATTGCATCGTTTTTTTATCGAACATTATCACGAGGAAGAAAGTTAATTAGCAGAGGACCCATTGACATTTCCATCGGTGTTCATTGACTGGATGTTCACGCGCGAGCGCGTGTCGTACGCGGCGATTTATCGAGCGTGTCCACGCATAGCGAGTACCGTCTTAGAACTTCTAATTGCTTTTGTTACCGGATGTGTCAACGCTTTGATTGATTATATTAGATGATAGCGAACTTCTTATCCAAGTAATTAGCGAGTGATTGTATATTTCATCGAACGCCAGTGGACGATTGGTGAATTAGGGAAAATTATTTATATGGAAATTAGTGTGCCACGGATGGATTGTGAGTGGACTGTGAATGGGTCATAGGCGTTCCGTGAGTGGACCACGAATGGAACTTGAATTATTTCAATTCTGTCTTAACCCTTCAAGAATAATGAACAATGCTCCACTGATTAAATGGTTCGAGTCTCCTCACCGAAAATAATGCAACAAAAAAAAGAAGGAAAATTTCCTCCTTAATTTCATTCATTCCTCTTTTTGCATAAGGTTAATGCTCCAGCTCGGTGCAATTAGATATATCTTTTAATTTCGTTGTACCCTCGGTAAAATGTCGGTCAACGGTACACAGAGGATAAAAAAAGGAAATTTTAGAGAATAAAAGGAAAGAAACTTGTTCCAAAGTCTAATTAATTGAAGGAAGCACCAGTTCCTACTCTTTTCGAGGACACAAGAAAGGTATCGAAGCAAACCGTCCAGCGACTAATGAAAATTGAAGAAAGAATTAATGGAACGTGTTAATTGGCTTCTGGAGACACAAACCACCTGTGATGATACTAAAAATGCACAGTTACTTTATTTAACGCTTCCAATATCCTGTGACCCACATAAATAGGTATACATCTAAAAGAAAAATATATTTCTGAGGCGAATAATTGCAATTTCCATGATTGCCTCCCTCCCATCGATCACCTCATCAGTTTCCTTCCAAAGAATTTTCCTCTCAGATTGCTTCGAGAAGCGAACCAAGGATCTCGAGGCATCTTAAGTAAACACGGTTTTCGTTTTCTTCGAATCCATCTGCTGATCCAGGTAGACAGGTGTTTCATACTGGTTTCAGGTCCTCGTTACGCGAGGCACTCGTGGTAGAAATTCGAATATTTTTAACCCTTTGCTAGTCTCAACTGTACTAGATTCTTTATTTTTTAATATTTATATCAGGCCACCCAATGTTAGTTGATATACGTATGAAAATATATCATTCTACGTTTAGAAAGATATTTAAGTGCTCAGTTTTTGCTGTGCCACCGAGTATATACACCGGCTTTAAAAAAATATTCAGGTACAACAAGGTGTATGTACTGTACTATAAGGGAAGGCAAAGTAAAGCCTCTTCTCTGGTAAAAAGTAAACGCGTACACACAGGGAAATTGCGGTTCTCTTTTTCAAAGGGTGTGTTTCCATGTCCTTTCTCTATTTCACCCGGGCTTTTTTTTTTACAAGCGGTTAAATAGAGTAGCTGCTCTTTGCGAAATACGAAAAGGTATCCATAAGTTTTCATAAAAAATTTCGATCAAAATATGTTTTCTTACTGCAAAAATGAACGACTTGAGAAAAAATGAAATTGATAAATGAATGACCTTAAATAAACTGCTATTTCAAGAAACGATAACGATATCTATGAGTAACCGCAATGATACCAATGATAGAATTATGAATAATATTTGTTATAATTAGTCTGAGAGTAGATATAATATTGAAGTTGTGATTTTTCAAAAAATGAATTTTATAAAATGATTCTATGAACATTGAGGGTAATTTTCAACCCTTGGATGATTATATTATTTTTGGTACGTGCTAGGAAAGAATATTCTCTTCCATCTTCAGTTCAAGTGGTGTTATTTTTTAACCCCACTTGAAATGATTCTGGGTTTCAAAGAAAGAAACGCAGACATGCTTCTCGAGAAGGGCTTGAAAATTATCCTAAATTAAATTAAAATTCAGGCTCTCTCCATGGTCCGCCATCCGAGAGTTCAACAGAGTGTTTGTTAACAATTCAAAATTTTTCTCTGTTTAAGGAATTTCATTGCATCACTGCTTTTGCAATACGATCGATCGAAGCCTCTTATTACTTTCTGAAGTTGTTGCAATAATTAAAGTTATATAGTTGGAGTTCTTGATAACACTCGAGTTTCTTATCAACCAGTAAATTGAGCCTGAACCGCTGTCGCTGTAGCTTGAATTATTAGTAAATTTATTTTTCATTTTCCGAGTACTCTATCATGCCCAATTATTTCTCAATAATTTATCATCTAAATTATTAGGTATACCAATTCATTCGTGGTCGTTTCATTTTAATTGCAAAATTTTTTTATTAACTCCTCCACAATATCTATAAATTCGGCAGTCTTTCATCATACCTCAAAGAAAATTGAAACTGAAGTACCGTTCCCGTGAAATCGTTGTTAAAATCAGTTCAGCGAAACTTCGACGAGAAATTATTCACCTGTCGCCTCGTGTATCTATCGAGATATCATGAAATCGGAGTGCTGATAACGGAGCGCGTTTATCAGCGACGCTAAAGTATTCCACGTTTTTTCACGATAACCTTTACCTGCTCGATAGACTTAATGTATCTATTGATACGTGGCGCTAACGTGAAATATCATCGTTCTTTTTCGAAATTTCAACGCTAAATATCCGCTCACGCGATATCGCGAGCTTTTTAGAGACGGTAACCGTGTGCCGTAACACTCGATCGTCGCCTATTTACAACGCGATACCGCGTGAACGGCATCGAACGCGTTAACGAAGGGTGAAGAGAATCGGTAGCTTTGAACCCGCGGAAACCTTCCTCGGAATCCTTGGCCCAGATATTCGCACGTGATCGAATGCCTGGTCAGCGTTTGCGCGTATATGATCGAACGAGCCGTTATAGGATGATAGATAAAATGATGACACACCGTGAAAATCACTCGTCTGTGTTCCTCGAAATGCCTTATCAAACAAGAGGGTCCTTTAAGGTTTTGATAACCCCGGGGCCCGAGAAATCCTAATCCGCTCCTATATGTAACTATAGCAGTCTTATTTTTCCCTATGAGAAAAATTGTTGTCTAGGGTGCAAATGCTTCTCTTAGTTACAATCAAGAGTAGGAAAAACCACCCTTCATTTGCACTTAATTTTAAGGGAACCGAGAGAGAGCCTACTTTAACCCATTAGCTGCCACATATATGTATAACTTATCCGGCCAAAAATTTCAACAAAAAAAAATTTGGCAGTTAATGGGTTAAAACCTATCATTTCCCCATATAATATGATAAAGAGAAATAACTTAAAAACTAAGTTCTTTTGATAATTATTCCATTACACAAGATACGAGGTAGGTATTAGTCACCGATGACCTCCCACAGTCGATGTGTTAATACTACGATGTTGACATTATTCATGTATTCATTGTACGCGCGTAAAATTCACGGGCAATGCTAATGACGATGTTTAATGACGTACGCTCATTAACCCTTTTTCTACTAGAAACGACTGCACTCTGTCGCGGAATGGTCACCGGCTGTGATAATTAAAAGAGAATGTTTGCAAATCAAATCTTATGTGATAGTTTGGCTAAACTTTAGGAATCCAATGGTTCAAAAGTTATGAATATGTAAATTTCGACATTTTTAATATACTTTCAAGGTTAGTTCGACGCTATATTAATCAATGATCTGTCCACTTAATGATATTGCTATCTCCAGACTGAAGCACGTGGGCGACATTCATTTTGGCGGAATAATTCAAATGTCTATCTACGTGAATTTCCGCGGCTTAGGTTAGGTTAGTTCTTTTAACAGCGTTCTGATACTCGACTCCGCGGACCAATCATGTTACAGATAGAAAACAATATGGCGTCAGACTAACCTGTAAGATACGCTAAAAACCCTCAATTTTAGATACACATAACTTTTAAACCGCTGAATTCTTAAAGTTAGAAAATACATTTTTGGATTCTACGCATCGATAACTATTAAATGGCAAATAAAAAGATTAATAATTTCGTGTACCTTAAAATAAAGCTTAACCTAGAAGATAATATATTACACAAATATTGTGCAAAGTTTGCCGCAGTTATATTAACGAAAATAGAAATTGTATATCGAATGCTGGTAGCGAATGTGTTAACGATATGCTAATCACGAGACGAACATTACCGCGTTACGTCAAAACGATCGTTGATAAACGTGGAGACGCTATCTACCTGCTGGTATCTCCTACCTAGAATACGGTAAAACGAACAAAAACGAAAGCAGAAAAACTTAGCCAGCTGTCAGCTGTTTGGTAAAAGAGAAAAAAGACTTGGTAACAATAAGAAGGACGCCTTATTTTTTCCTCAAACTTACAAAACTAATTCGCGATAAATCATACTCGCGTTATCGCTCTCAAACGTCACTTGAATTGTTTACCAAAGATACACAAAGCAAAGAGGAAAATTATACAAACAAAAATTATTTATTTATTGAAAATTAAATTTTAAACAATTTTTAAAATGAAGTTATCTTGGTTCAATGATTTTCTAAGCTAGCAAGTCAACAACGGTCTGAAGGAAAATCAAACATTAACGCACACCGTTTTGTTTTTATCGAGTCGCACTGATAATCTTCACTAGAGATAATGAAGTATTTCTTTTTTTTTTAAAGAACTCAGCCTGTTTCTGATCGGTGAAAATTCAATGTCCGAAGGTCGTGGAGAGTAACGTCACCGCTGGCATTTTGGTCACATGTTTGTTCTTTGTCACGCGGTTTTGCCGTGCGACAGATGAACAGGTACGGTGCGAGATCGTTTTGCAGGAATGCGTGAAAACGGGTGGAGAAAAGACCGTGAACGCTTGAAAATCTTCCACGGATCTCGCTTGCTGCGGGGTATCGGTATTAACAAGTATACAAGCAAAGGAGAAGAAAACGTCGCGGATGTATGACCGTAGAATCTATACTTTGGACAAAGAAGCGACAAAGATTCAACTAGTAAACACTAGAGAAGTGGGTCTTTGAAGAGGAGGGTTTGCAATCTACACTTTATGCACGCTTCCTTTTCATCGGGACACGAAGCTTTAGATAAGAGGAACATTAAATGATAACGAAGAAGTTAATCGTTTAGCAGGTGTAAAAGAGCGATTCGTGTATACAGAGCCGATGGGAAAACGTCATTCTGTCAAAACGTACTCCGATCGTAGAACGGTATCAAAGGTCGATTTCGAAATCGTCAATGGATAATACATTACTCAGAGCATGCACGATGATTAACGTTACGATAATGGGAGAAAGTATAGGAGAGACAGTATAATGATTTCTTTGAAAATTACATACCTCTGCGATTGAACGGCCGAACCCGAACGGCAACCTTTATTTTATCCGTAGCCATGATTTCACACCGGTAACGCACACTGTATAATTCCTCGATCACAAGGAACTAGCTCGATGCTTTTGTATACACAAATATAATATTCACACGATCTTCATAGCGCTACATTATTCTCAACCCATACCGCGAACTTTTCATATTTTCAAACGACACTACGTCTCACCGAGCCCATGACACACTTCGCCATATTGCTTGAAACTCGTCGTGCGCCAGACGACGTTCGTCCGTCCTATCGAGTGAACGTACTTTCGAGAACTGCCGCTAGGAACGCTTGCGAGCCTCGCCGCTGTGACGTCACGCCGGTGGTAGGGAGAGCGCCTAGTGGGGGAACATTGAACCGCGTTATTTGAAACGCCCATTTCAATGACGTGTACATTAAACTTTATTTATTTAATAAACCTCCCTATTATCTATAATTTATCATTTATTTCTTTGAAAGAATTTCTTTATTATTACATATGTATATAATACCTACTTTGATTCGCGTGTACAAGAATTTTATGGCTTAAAAGTAATGTAAATAATTGGAAATTAGTATTGATTCATTAAATATCGAATTTCATAATGTTTGCTTGAAATTTATAAATGACTGGAGAATATTACCTTGCGTAGGTCTTGCAAAAAACATGAAATTCGCTTGTTTTATGAAAAAACTTGATTTTCTACTTACTTAATTTCACCATTTACCGTCAGATGGTGATGCTATGTTTTTAAAGCGCGCATTTGCGTTTTATTTGACGTGTACCTACGATCTTTTTATATATTTAAATGTAATTGTGATTTTTTTTAATTATTCATGTAATACTCTTACGTATTGTTTATAGTATGTAAGCTTTATTAAATTAAATGCGCCAAACTAACTTACTATTCAGTTCCCTCCAAAACTAAAACTCGATCAGTCTGCACTTATATACGTTCCCGCGTTATGATAAAACTATGAGAACAATGAATGTAATTATATGATAATGTAATTGTACTGAAATACAAATAAAACAGTAGATAAGCAATAAACATTTTGGATCAAATCTTTTCATTTGTTATTAAGGTATTACAAAAGAATGTAGGTTAAAGTTGCACTTGATATCTACTTTGTAGTGTTAAAGGCAGCATACTGAAACAATTTAATTTAGTAACACACTTATATTTTATTTTACAGATGTTGTAAATGGTGGTTCCTTCACGAGAAGACAATCAAGATCAGTAAACAATGATTATTAAACTAGTCAAAGTAATAAGTTGTTCTTCTGAACATCCATCTTACCCTGTATCAAATCTTCTTCAGCATCATTCAAATGGAGGGTGGAGATGTGCTAAACCTGGAGAAATGCTTGCTACTGTTGTCTTTCAGTTGGCAGAACCATCGTGTATCACAGGATTAGATATTGGTAATTATCGTAGTTGTGTGATAATTGTTACTGCTTCTACATCAGCAGAACCTGACAAGTGGGTCCCAATTGTAAACCATCAATTTCTGACACACGACGAAGCTGCAAATGGTAAATTCAGAGATCAAGTGCAAATATTCACAAAGAAGGAACTTAATCCAGAGACGATAAAAATAAAATTTGACCGTGTCAAAGTAACTTGTATGCAGTCTGCAAATTTAAAAGAGTTATTTGGCTTATCTTTCATTGTATTGAAAACAGAAGTTGTGGTTGATTTAGGATTGGATGTATTTGGAAGATTTAAACTGAAACAGCCAGAAGAGAACAATGCTAAATCATCTCTGAATGATTTCAAAGAGAAATACTTAAAAATGATTGATAACAAGAAAACAGATTACAAAGGAAGTTTACTAGCAAAAGTCAAAGAAACTGGGATGAGTAATTTTTCTAAGAGACAAGAAGAGGACAGGGAACCAATGAAAAGACCTTTATTAGAAAAACTGGAGGCAGGAAAAGCTGAAGAAGTGTTTGGAAAGAAAGATACAGATTCAGCTTTATTGAATAGCTCTAAAGTCAAAGATGAAAAAACTACAACTGATGAGCCAGTAGTGAGAACTCCATTTGGGGATGTTGTACCTTCACCCTCATCCAAAACAAATAAAAAGGACACAAAAAATGAAAATGAAGCTCACAGTAAAAATTCTAGGAAACGTTCCTTAACTCCGGAAGAAAGTTCGTCAAAAGAAAACATAATTAAAAAGAAGCAAAATTGCCCTCAGTGCCAAGATGAATCAGAAAACAAAATTTGTAAAAATTGTGGAAAAGTGCCTCCACCCAAGCCTATAGATAGACCAGAAAGACCTGCAAAGAAGAATGCTGTGAAGGCACAGAAACCAAAAAAAACCATTTTCTAAACTTTTTGAGGATGTTTCATTTTCACTCAGTGGATATGTTAATCCACAAAGGGATGAAATAAGGAAAAAAGCTCTTCAAATGGGAGCAAGGTACATTGCTGATCCTAATACAACTAATAAAAAATGTACCCATCTGATTTGTGCCTTTAAAAATACTCCAAAGTATCAACAGTTAAAAGGCCATTCTAAAATTGTTTCACATGATTTCATTGAAGATTGTTTTAATGAAAAAATAAGGTAAAACTATTTTTATTATTCTAATCATTGAATGAAAAGCAATAAACTCATATGTACATTAAACGATATTTGTACAGATTTCCGTGGAGGCGTTATGCTTTGGATAGAAAAGCAAGAGCTGAACCTGAAAGTGAAGAAGAAATAGTAGGTAGTTCATCACCACCAAGAACATCTAATGTATTTGAAGAAGATACTGATTCGGATTCTAATTATTGAATAATCGTTCATTCATTTTGCTACATACAAAAAATAACTGCTGGCACAGAATTTTACTCAATATGTACATAATTAATTAATTTTCATGTAAAAATATTTTATTTGCGGATGAAATGTAATGAATCTGTTAATATAATCTCAATTTTTGTAAGCTTTAAAATACAAGTGAATAACTATAAAATGTATTTTAATAAAAATTGTTTCCTAACTTTTGATATTCTAATAAACATTTGAATGCATTATGATTCAACTTCAGGGATTCGTTTGTTTTACGTCACGATCAATTGTCATTAAACAAACTAATTTTATTAACAAAATGTTGAAAAATCTAACGTAAATTAAGAATATGAAATTCGATATTAATTTTAAACACGGTAATATGTAACTTAAATTATTCAAGTATTGCACTTGTTTCCGGAAATCAAAGCAGTCGCATGCAACTGTCAATGGCGTAAACTGGAGAACTTCAAAACTGTCCATCATACACGATCAAAATGGTTGATGAAAATAATACGTTCGGTTTTGAGCTTATGCAATCGATATATGATAATCAGATAGCGAAAAAAGAGGATGTTTTAATATTATTTGTTCACTGGTATCTGATAAAACATGGATTCAGATGTCTCGGGCTTGGTGATTCAGTAAGTTACGTTGAAAATACATTTACGCGCAATGTCGCGCAATACAAACGTTTTGTCTAATAATCTTTTATATTGTTTGTTACTATAATTAATAAAAAGCCAGAACTATTGTATTGTTTTATACAGAATTTGTAGTACGTCATTTGTAAAGGTTATATCGTTATTTTTGCAAATCTGTCAGACTAATAAATTGTCTTCTAAAAATGAAATTTTTAATGTAATCACCTACTGTCATTGCGTAATTTAAGCAATTTTACATTCTAATAGGCATATATAAAACCTAGAAATATGATTCTTAATGAACATATGTTTGTTTCTTTCAGAAAGCATTTAATGATTCAGAGAAAGGCTGCGAATTATTGCCAGAAGGATGGAATACACGTCCAAATTACACATTTCGTTATATAAACAATAAAAAATTATATATATTGCATGGTATAAAATCTGATGAGGATCTGCTTATAAATCTATTGGTAATTAAAAATTTGTATTTATATATTAGTATTGTTATTGATACCAGATTCTATGAATAATAATGAAAGTTATTAATATTTTACTTTACAGAAGGTTGATGATCAACATGTATCCAGTGCACAGTTTCCGATAAATCAAATTGTAAATAATCTTCATGGACCATTGGAATCTTTAATATCTTCCTATCAAAGCGTCATAAATATAATTCAAAAGGAACTTATTGATCCTGTGCTTCCTAATAACACTGCAGAGGGTTCTACTCAGACAACATCAGTATGGAGAGAACCACGCAGTACTGATTCTTACAGTACTCCTGATCCTTTAAGGGTAGGACCAGGGGGGTCACGTCCTTCATCTGTACCTGGTTTACGGTAATATTCGCATCGATTCATAGAATATGAATATGTATAATTTTTGCCTGAAAAAGGAGAATTTAAAAAATACATGTCGTAATAAGGGATGACAGGGAAATGATCAAAGAATCGATGCGACTTAAATATAATAAATTAGTAAATAATACGTAAAACATCTTTACAGACCTCTCGTGATGATATAAACCTGGAAGACATTTTATCACAGTTCGAAATTTGAATTTCTGTCATCTATTTTCAAGCACAAAAAAGATCAATCCCTTATTTCTGAAAATTATTTGAATTAGAATTCTTAATTTTAGCAAGTACAGTTGATCCTACAAGTATTAAGGGTACAAAAGTTTTCATTCTCTCCATGATCTGTTTATAATGATAAATTAGCTATCATTTTTGTATAATCTTTCAAATTCTTTGATTAATAATTAATTATTAAAGTAATCACAATTTTGTCTAATAAAATGTATGTTTGTTTCAAAGGGATCCTGCTACGGATCCTTTGAACGTAGGATCTGCCGATTTAAATCCATTCGCTCGTGGGGGCGGTGGCATGATCTATGATCCATTTCCACCGCTTCGTAATCCGGTTATTCCACGAAGACCGGCTTTAGGAGTTCCTGGAAGACTGCCACCGTAAGTTGAAAACCATAACAGCAATACAGTAAGCGCTTGATAATTTCCCGAATGCAGATAATTATCAAACGCTTACTGTACGATATTTTATTACAATTTCTTTTCTTACAATATATCATAAAAATGTATTTATATTGCAGAGGAGCAGTTCCTCCTCATGCAAGGTTCGATCCTTTTGGTCCTCCTGATATTGAACAACCCAGACCACGACAGGATCCAGACAATGATCATTTACCTCCTCCCGGATACGATGACATGTTCATGTAAAACTAAAACAATGTACTGACAGGAAATATATATATATCAGTTTAAGGTGTAGTTTTGTACACAACTATCGATCTTTATCTAATTTTGTATAAAAAAAAAAAAAAAACAGAAAACAACGATATTTAAATAAAGCATTTTTGTTGTTTGTAAAAACAATGTCATGATACGGAAATATTTTATTTCGTCAATGTAAGAAGTGACATGAAAACATGGCTTCTTCACAAAACGACTTCCATTCTTTTTTTATTTCATTACTGATGTTTTACAATATAACAAAATTCATCATTTATAATTTAATTCAATTTCATTAATACAGCGGTAGGTAGGAAATTACATTAACAAATTAAATACAATAATAATATAGTAATTCTTGTTTAAATTGCGCTAACTCGTTAAATTTATTTTTTTCCTTAATCGATTCGAAAAAGAGTGACTTGTTCTTATCCCGTTTACGTCGGTTCAAAATAGAGGATATTTTCTTTGCTACCTAAGTTGTTTCTGTTCTCAGTATTCGTATGAGTCGAAAACATTTTTATTCGAACGTAAAGTAAATGAAAAAATAATTTCCATAGTCGCCATTGTTAAAAAATATGGCAATTAAACGAAAAATCTATATATACCCTTATATTTTTTTAATGGATCGTTCCTCTGGATAATAAAATAAAAATCTGACACAACGTTTCGATTCAATTCTTCGAGAATAAAAATACTCTGCGAGTACGGGAGATATTAAATATTCAGATCAAAATACATTCCTAAATACAATTTCACAATAAGATCTACCAATGCCCATTTGATTTGAAACAGTGAATCACACGATTCTTGTTAGTCCTGAAAAAGATTTCGAATATATTATATCATTTTCCCAGGTAGCTCGTTTCACTAAGCCCGATTCATTTAATCCTCTTCTAATTTTCAACCATTTTTTTTTTCTCGCGAAAATTGTATCACAGATAAAAAATATTCACTCATATATGTATATTTATATATATATACGTAATTACTTCTGACAGAGAAGTACATCTCGCTTGAAGAAGTGAATCGACGTGCAAAATTAAATTTCACATTTTTAAAAATTCGTTGGTAACTTTTCTTTCTTTTTTCTCAATGAATCCTAAGGTATACCTAATTTAAAGTATCATCATCTTACTTTAAAAGGGCTATTATTGAGAAACAAAAACAAACATTAGCAATCATGATAATTGTAAAGAGTAAACTAAATATTAATAATAATATTAAAAATAAATTGAACAAGTAAAAATTATTCGTTCAATTTCGGATCTAAGGCTTGATAAGTTTCTTTTTTCTTATAAGAATGTCCCTCGTCCCATCCTCTGGTAAAAAATATTGCAGTGTTTTTTTTTTAACATTACAAAAAAGGAGCTGTACCAGGTTCAAATTTCATTCCTAGTCTGCGATCACAGTGAATGTACTTGGTTTACCTAAAAAAGAATAATTATGCACAAAAATGGCAAATCTTTGATCACTGGTGACGCAACAATCGCGCAATTAATTGATTAGTCAGTTTCGTAGAAAAATGTCATACCTTACATGCTAATCATGAAAAGAAAACTAACGATACAAACAGCTAACGACAGTTCACATCACTCTTGTACACAATTCTCTGCCAAGTACGAAAATATTAAAAACAATTCACATATCATAAATACATTGTAGAAACGTGCGTACATTCACGTTAAATCGACAGACGCATGAAATGAATCTAAGTATTATATTCATTATTTTAGGAGCGAATCTTCTTTTTTTTTTCCTTCTATTTTTTTTTTTTTGAACACAGTTTAGTGTGGCGTACAGCGTCATCGACAATTTTACCAAAATTCGTGAATTACCATTACAATAGATGCTTCACACAAAACGCGTATGCAGCCTTTTAAAATTTGTCGAATAAAAGTGGATGTTTAAAAATATTTTGGTGAAATTGTCGTTAAGCTACGATAAAAGTGATATATAACTCTGGTGTGATTTACTTCACTTTGTTTCGCAATATTTCGATATTTCAAGTTAACGCAGATTTCAAGTCCAGTAGAAGTTAAGAATACCCATCAGTTTGGCATGCCACTGGAAATGCAACGCAATATTTTTTTCTATTGTATATTGTGCTAAAATGTTTCCGAACTGATACTCAAAGATTTGATCTACCTATGAATCCATGTATTATTGATTGTATTTTGCAATATCTCCTTAACAGATGCAGCAGTAATTAAAATATACATTGTAGTTCAACGCTAATTGGTTAATTTAAATGTTGCAACTGCAACATACTGCGAAATACTTGCGAACTATTTCAAGTGAAAATAATATATTGCATAAACCACGCACTGTTAAGGAGATACGTTTTGTAATGAATACGTTACTCCGATCTTTATCTGAAAAAAATCATGTAAGTATCATGTTATAATTTCTCATTCTAGTTATATGCAAAACACCTGTAAAAAAAATCTGGTCAAAGTAATCTAAAGGCAAACACATTAAATCACTTTAAAAAGTGTTGACAAGATATTTATGCATTTTTCTGTAATCAATCTTACTGGGAAAACGTAACTTCTTATTGCACTAATATCTCTAAACTACGCTTCATCATGACGGCTGTGTACACTCGCAGTACTGAAAAAACCATCCTTCTTACAAAGAAAAAAAAGAAATCATGCTAATTTCCACGTCCTTGCTTCGTTTTTAAAATATTTAACATAAATAACGTATTAACTACTGTTTACAAATTAATTAATCAATTAATTAATTAAGTATTGCATGTTTTATTATCTTGGACCAAGTAAATGCAGCCTTCTAGAATACCTATACGTAATAATGTTAAACGAGGCACCCAAAGTATTACCGTATAAAGCATAAAGTTGATCCAATTTATTTTATTGTACAAATCACGATCAGATCCATTCTAATTTAATTAACTGTTCTGATCACGTGCAAGAAGGTCTCCCCGTTCGTTCTGCAACGTTAATTTAGTATAAAACATAAATACAAAAATTTTCGTAAAACGAAGAATGCAAATAAATCACTTTTCAACTGTTCGATTTAGAGAATAAGACGACGAAAGAGTATGCCTGTAAAAATTTCTTTAGTTTAAGTAGTTCGGTTGCATTTCCATTGATAGGCCTTTCAGAACAGAGTCGATACAATTATGTCTCTTGTTATCAGGCGCGAAAACCTATACAATTAGATATACCAATCAGTATGAATTAGTAACTTTTCACAGAAAAAAAAAAAGGAAAAAAAATCGTTTGATCTATTGGACACAGCAGGAGTTCTTTTGTCCATTTTTGAGCTTCAACCGAGATTTGGGACGATACTTTTCAAGATAGGCCAGCTGCTTCGAATTGATGGCGCCTCGTCTTTTACTGGAACAAACGAAGAAAATTCTCTTATAGGTATTTTTATACGCGCGACGAAGTTTCTCGGAGAAGTTGAATAATCGCGGCATCGATAACTTACTCCCTGATTAACGTGACTGCATCCTCGTACTTTAATCCAAGCTCGATAAGAGCAAGCGCAACTAAAACCGGTGCTCTACCGAGTCCTGCAACGCAATGCACCGCCACGCATGCATCAGGTGACTCGCGGAATCGATTTTTTAGCAGTTCAAACCATTCATCGATGACCTAATAATAAGAATTTATTTATTCCCATCGAAATTTATTGCATTTCCTACACACATTTCATAGTAACGGTGTATTTACTTCGTTCGGTGGAAAAGTGCCATCGTCAAACACCAAGTCCACCACGTTGATCCCTTCAGCTTTAAGTTCCTCAACTTTGTACGTTGGTTCGCACACCCTCACTACTTCTTTTACATTGTGCTTTTTCAGTTCCTGAAACAATGATGATGTTTAATTATTTCCAATCTCGTAGATTCATTTTACAATATTAAGGAGCCTACTTGAATAAAAGTATGAATGGTCTGATCATTGGGCCGATCAGTGATGAGGAACTTCATGTTTTTGTATTCAATCTCGGCGGGCTCGGGTCTGATATCCTTCACCCTCATGTTGCTCATTTCCTCTTGGACAACAAGCGATAAATAAAAAAAACTCCTACTCCTGTGTGTATTCTTCTATAATTTCTTCAAATGACTTCTTTGTACGACACTGTTTCTCTTTATTTCTGCAATGTGTGCCACACTATACCCAAGCGATAAAGGCTGAATTTGACAACTTAGCCCATAGATGTCAGTCTTATAAAGTTGTTTTTCATTTAACTAATTGAATACTTTGTTATTTTTTTACAGAGGACAGAACAATGGGTTTACATGTAGACCTCGGAAAGGGTTGGTAGGGTGCGAATTTCACTGAAAGAGTGAGGGCTACGTTACATTAGGCGTTCTTGATATGCGATTGATTCCCACTTGGGATCCTCGACTACAATTCGGAAGATTATCTGAAAAGAAAAAGATACATTTGTCAGTAAAAGTTCGTGCAAATGTTTACCTTATCAAAATGTTAGTAGTATTATCTCTTACCTATTTGGCACTGGGTGCGCCTGAATCAGGTGCGCTCAGTATCTACAATTCTTGCATTTAATTATGTAAATTAACAATTGATTCTATTTAATTCTTCTATGTTTCGTATGATGACTAGCTGATGATTTTTTCTTCTTCTTTTTTTTTTTAACTTTGAGGCAACGATCCCAATATTATCAAATTTTCCTTTGCCTGATTATGATGTTTTGTTTTTTTTTTTCTTTTTCCTTTAATAATACCTAGTTGATTCTAGGATGTTTGGGCGTGTCTCTCTATTTGTGTTGAGCCTGGCAGTATTCTGCGCTATCCAGCTGAAACTCCATGTATGTGAGGATGCACTCACCAGGAAACTGCAACAGAAATAGAAATGAAATATTAATTAAAGGAACCCTTTATAAGAGCGCCAAAGATTTATCAATGGCGCTAGTTGCGCCCGATCTTGGCTGAGATATTCGAAACGTTTCACCAGGCGCCGAACAAAAACGAATTTTCTTTATCTTTGGCACAAGCGTTCTGTACCTATGCCAAACGAAACAGACAGGTTGAAAACGTGTAAGAGTCGAAGAAGTACTTCCGTCATTTTATGAATCTGATTTGAGGGGGTTTGCGCTGATCGCAAATAGAAATGTCTAGGTCACCATTCCGAGATCATAACGCGATGTTACCTACAGCTGATACACTCGCGAAAGTCAGAATATGTCATTAAATATTTGATTTTAATTTTATAACACTAAAGAAGAATAAAATGTTTCATGTATCGCAGGGCCGGCCCTGAGATTTAGGGGATACGAGATTGAGTACCTCAAATAAAATTTATAAAATTAACATTAAAGCTTGGATAACTAATTTAGATTTCTAGTTACCTTTTTCAAATTCAAATCTTCGAAAAAATATATAGATTTAAAAATACTAAACTTTGTTAACACTTTCTTCTTTCAGAAACTTTATAATCGCAATCACTTCCCATTTCCGTTTCAGTGGAGACTCGACCGCATAGTTGGATTAGCTCGATCGCGTAAGTGAAAATAAGCTCTCGACTGACAGAACGTCTCTTTACGTTTGTAAATTTGAAACGCACATCGAAATAAATATAGGCATCGATACAATCAGAGGGGAGACGAATTGCACACCGGCGTCGTTCCGTCAGGATGTCGAGACGATTTACGAAATACCCTTTTTACGTAACGAAAGCTTCTTCCGAAGCCGAAGACGGCTGTCTTCATCTTCGAACTTGCTACGACAATCGGATGACGGATAGGAAGAGAAAGTGAGAGCGCTCGAATCGACGTACCGGAATAACCCGAATAATTGGCAGCCGGTATATGATCAGTCACGAGTGCTACTCTGCACTTTACAACGATGCTTCGTTTCAAGGTCGAATCCATCTTGCCAATCTTACAATTGTCGATTATTCGATCCTCTACAACCGTTTGCTCCAAAATATCCAACACGGTATATTCCACTGGACAAACGAACGAATTCGAAATCTTAAATATCGTCACGCGTCCCTAGGCCCTAGGGATTTTTATACTTCGACTGGCACGGCGGCCGTCGGTGAAAGTATTCAAAGATCAGAAAGATGTATTAAAAGCTCGCGTTGTTAAAGGAAAAGGTTTTAAAAGTAAAGGGGTAAAGCGTGTCAACGAATGGATGTGTGTAGAGGTCGCCACGTATCCGTCGTTTTACCGTTAGCACCTTCGGTGGAAGGCTGGTGGAAAAAAAAGATTCACTGAAATCAACCTAGAAACCTACTTCCTCGACATAGAATACGTTAGCCCCAGTGAAAACGAGTACGAACTCGTCGCAGACACCGTTTATCCTTTTTTTTTTCTTTTTTCTTTTACTCTCGAGACAAGTGAAACTTACGAGCAGCATACATTTAGTTGGTTATAGATCAACTCTAATATGTATACGCTAACAGTATGGCGTTATATGAACTCGAGCAGTTGGTGTCCGCTAACGCCATAACGAAAATTTCATTGCATCATTTTTTAGGTTATAATGAAAATAATTATTTATATCTGAATACTTAATTTTTCTACAATTTTACGAGAAATTTGTGCACCAACGTTAACGCGGCAAAATTCAAATTGAAATCGCAAAGTGAATGCAAGGTTTTCTAATTCACCATTGTTTCCATCGTACAAAGAATGCGTTGCTATACCAAGCTACGTGTGAATTCAATGAATACACGAGAAATGCATACAGGTGTTCCTCATATTCAAACAAGATAAGTCGTTTGCAACGAGGGGCTGGCTTATTATGGCCGCGAGCGTGTAAATTAAGGCCGTGAAAATCTCAGGACGGCGCGTCGATATAGGAGGGAACAAGAACGACGGATACATTGAACTTTCGCGTAGCTATTTTCATCGAAGGTGTAATTCAGCGAACTATAAATACGCGACACGCTGAAACACTCTACACATCACGGACGATTCCGCGATCTAGGCTGGGGGACGTCGTTCACGGAACCGTGGAATTCTTTTTCAATTTGCTTATCGACACCTTCGATACGACCATTTCCGTATCGAAGGATATAGGTATATCTATCTTCTATCTGCGACAAATGAAATACCGAGTAGAGAAAGATTCTCTAGGTCTAATAAGAAAATCAATAAGGGTCTAAAGGCCAGTGTTCATATTCAAGGTGGCAATTTCAATGTATAAGCGGCTACAAGTGAATCAATCGTTAAGAATATCTATATCTTAATTAAAATATAATTATAACGTGTTTCTTAACCCTCGGATGGCGGACCATGAAGAGACTCCCCCACCCAAGACGGCGGACCACGGAGAGAGCTACAAATCTTAATTTAATTTTGTATTTCATATTATTTTCTTTTTGTTTAACAACGATACATTTAACTGTAGTTTAATTATTGTAGTGGGAGTAACAACCTTGAGACATAAATCTTTAGTTAAAGCTATAAGACACGACACTCACTAGTGGTTTAGCCTCGTGACACTGGATGATGCAAAGCCGGCCGATTTTAACGCAACGAAATGCGTTCGATGCGCGTCAGACCGTCAGACCGGGAATTTTAATGACTGGACGGGATGGAAAGTCATCAATTTACTCGCTTTTGATCGCCACTCAAGAAATAAATTTCATCGCGAAGCTAACACCGATAACCGAATATCTTTCCCTCTTTCGCGAGAACTGATAAAATTTTGCAGCTAAATATAGTTGTGCGCCAAGTTTCCCAGCGAATTATTCTTCCTCTCTCCCACTCTTTCTCTTTATCATCAACGTTCTGACGATACTAATTGAAGCTACGATTTGATATAATTTCACGGATCTTTAATACCTGATGAACTAATAGAAAATATTGATTTATGTACAAGGAAAAAGATAAGATTCCTGTTTCCCTTGTGTTTTACAGCGTGCCAATAAAACAAATATTTTCTCAATGTGATAATAGAGATTATTTTAATCCCTTTCCTATTTGATTATTATTTTCCGCAAAGATTACCAAGCAGGAAAATGATTTTCTTAAAACAAAATTAGCCTGATCTAAATTTTCGGACACTCTACGTTGCATCTTTCGAAACAACGGTTAAAATAGATACTTTTTACAGGAAACTTCCACGATTCGTCACGCGTTCCGTCTCGTATTATCGTGGAAAAAAATACGGCTAATCGATGATGGATCAGCGTTGTATATTTGCTTGATCGATCAGCGAAACAATGAATTTTTAAATATAAAACATTCCAAATTGTCGCGGAACATAGTTTGGGAAATCCTGCTTCATAGGATTCGATGCAATTGACGACGCATTGTATGCGTCATACCCTATCTGATGCAACTGATGCACCATCCGTCCAATGCATTCATACATGACCTATGCACTTGACGACGTACCACGTGTGTTCTACTCCGTCTATACAGTGCAACTGACGAGACATACGGTGCGTCCTGCTCCACCCGTCCGATGTAATCAATGACGCACCAGATGCGTCCAACTCCACATGATACAATCAATGACACACCCAACGTGTCACGCGCTGTCCGACGCAACCGAGCGTAGAATTTTAAAGAAAATTTTTTTTGTTAATCAGAGTTATGTGGAGTGATACAAGACTGATACAAAGGTTTGCCTACGACGCTATGGGATATTTATGGTTCTTCAACGGAACCATACGCCCCGATCGTTTCTCGAAAAGGAAAAGGCAATAAAGAAAGTATTGCGTTATAATAACAGGACAAGTTGTCTCCAAGCACAACAATTTTCTTCATCTAATCATCATTTTATCTCGTTTCTACAACTTTCCTCATCCGTGATCTCGAAAGCAACAGACGAAAAGCCGTCGTTAAGCGCAATACAAATTCGTAAATTCGACGGGATAATAGTAAACAAAATTTTATCAACCGTTGAGGGTTTAAGCTGTCGGTACGCGTTGCACTTTATCTCCTTCTGTCAGCGTTTCCCTTGCCTAGATATTTTAAGCCGAACTAGCGAACTTTAAATATATCCTCTCTCTCGCTAACGCTGTTTACCCTCGAACTTTCGTCTCGTCCGCGAGATTAATTTTTACGTCAAGTATCGACGCTTCTGTGCATTCTTTCGCGGAAGTTCGCCGGAATACTTGGTATAACAAGTAGAGAATATAAATTCGACACGTGTGTCGGGAAGGGAGAAATGTATGTTGTTAGCGATCCCAGAATTGGCGATGGAACAATTTGGCACGCGAAACGTGCAACACGAATCGACAGAAAAATATCTATGTTGTGTTATGTCACAAGATAATACCCTACGCGTGGACGACATTGTTCTTTGCGCATCATCGACGAACAAGGACGCTGCTTAGCGCGATACAAGCCGATTAAACGACAAAAATTTATCGCGATATTTTATTCTAAAGGAGGATCAGCTTGTTGGTATATCGTTTAAATGCTACAAATGGAAAACCTTTACACAGGCTCAAGTTAAGCTTCGCGAAAGTTACAGAAACCAGTGTGATGTTAAACAAGGAAATCCATTGTTAATTATCGCGGGAAGAGAATTCACGGGTCAAGAGTCATTGCGAATTATCACCGTTGGAGAGTTTATCGGGGATAACGCGAGAAAGAAAACGCCTATGATGAAAATGAAATTTTCTGCTCAATGAAGGAACATTATTTCAATTAAGGTTGGCAAAAAACTTGAGGAAATTCTACTATTAATATCCCTCTACAATCCTGCAAAAAGAATTTCGTAATTTAACCCTTGCGGGATTAAATTAAAACAGGGGCTCTCTCCAGGGTCCGCCGTCCGAGAGTGAAAGGTTTAACACGAATTTCGTTTCAAGTTAGCAAGTTAATTTTTCATTTCTGAGTTTATTGTTAATTAGAGGAGAGCGAGAAACAGATATACATATCAAACCTTGAAACTAATCTGATTCTGATGTCATACTCTTTATATCAGCTTCATTTTTTTCGTATTTGTATCTTCATGGTGCTTATCTAAAGAAACGAAGCAAGCCGAATAACCCGTGCAAATATTTTACACCTGTCGAGAAATGATATGTAGGTACGAGTTTTTGTGAAGTGCTCGATAACAGTGATAAACTAGGTATTTGATTTATCGACGTCTTTTCACGGTCACGATCAAAATCCAATTTGAAGTCTGACGTGTTTGCTCGTTGCTGAATAAAATGAAATTTAAATATAAAAGATAGTCATAACTTGTATCGCATAAAATTGTAAAAATAAAGATTGCAGAAGCCGATGACCGATGATTAACCACAGTGGCAAATGACATAATGATAGAAATTTCAATATCTAATTAAAAGTTTCTCATCGCACATTATTATGATTACTTCATCTTTTAATTAGAATGAATCATCGATACAGATTCTTGAAAATTTTTCTGAGCTAGGAATACACATTCATCACAAATGATTCATTATGATAAACTAAAAGTTCTCTTATCCGTTCTAATTCAACTTAATTGATGCAATACTTAAAAAACAAATTGTATATAAAATTAAAGCATGAATGGATGGATGGAAAAACTGGCACGTTTACCATGAAACGGTGCGCATGGTCCTGACATCTGCAACGTGCTCTATATTTATTCAAAAACACGTGTTTACTGAATTGACCCGTCTTCACCCTTCATCTATAAATAACTATTTCTTTTGTCATCGACCATTGTGTATTCACAGATCTACGGGGCAGCATATTACTTTCATCCTATAAAAGGTTACGAATTCAATGAAAATTCAACAATACATATTTGTCCGTTTTAATTATAGACCAAACATTCTAAGTCGTAGCTTTCATTGACTCGTCATCGTGGAAAATTGATTTTCCGGACAATTAACGTGTCGATATGCTGGCGCTTCTATTCCACCATGATTATGTCATCGAACGACACAGGAAGCGTAGAAGAAACGCGACGAACCAGTTTACTGCGGTAACACGAAGAATCTGAAACGGTCCCCGATCGAATGACAATATTTTCACAACGAGTTATGAAGTTTCAAGATCACGCGCCGATCGCGTATCAATGCGTAACGGGTTCAAATTACGCGTCAATAACAATATAATAAAATATTTCAAAGAAAAACTTGCTACGCGTTTTATAGAATTTATGCGATTCAATAGAGTACGCACCATATGCGTCATACGTTCAATGCAACATATGACGCACCGGGTGTGTCGTAAGTTAACCATCCCACGCAACAGACGACGCACCGCGTCAGTCTCGTGAAGCAACTACGAACAGGGTCAAATCTGACCCTAATACGATGCTTAAAGGTTAAGCGCAAACGTTAGGGGTCAGGCGCAAGTTCAATGTGCTTGGAGAAGAAGCGCGGCGATAAAAATGGCGTCCGGTTACTTGGATGTACCGATCGGTAATTTAAGCCCCGATAAACAGCAAATGGATACCGTGCAGCGACCACGCACACACACCCACGTGCCGATTCTACATTTAGCCAGAAACGAGCAGACGTTTCTTCGCGGAGAGAAAAATCGGTCGATCGATCACGCGTCGAACACACCAGAGAGACGGCTTTAGCGAGGACGGTATAACGCGACGAGAAAACACGTCGAGACTTGTTAAGAAAAAAAACAGACAGAAGGAGCCGGTGGTAGGGACGCCGCTTATTTAATTTTACTTTTTGTAACGTATGTATTCGTGATAAAAGAGACTTACGTGAAAAATGAATTACCGTGGTCAGCTGATATTCAAAGTTCGAGAGAGAAAAAATGACGGTAACGCGTTAACAGATCGTACGGTGCCACTTGAAACGCAGCCATCGAAGTTGCATCGAATCACGTTCGTTCGCGAACGCTCGTTCACCGTGGAATGTCAGATACGAAGAAAAAATGGCGCGACAAGTGGCCAGGCCTGTTGTAATCAACACTTTCGTTTAAACAATTCCCCTTAATAATCGATGCCTGTTAACGCTTACGAGGTAACGAGGTCTCGCAATGCCAAGGAATGCGTGCGACCCGTATGCACCGCGAGTCATGAATGAAACCATCGGTGTACCGTTCAGGTGAAAATTCCGCCACGTGACCAACAATAGAGAGCGAAGAAAGTGTCGTAACAATGAGAAACGTACCTTAAGGTCATTTGACGACGAGCCACGCAATCACCGTGACAAAAGGTGTACGTTTAGCCTCCGTACCCTTGCTGCACAGCGAATACGACAGGAAAATACGTTACAACACACAGAAGTGAACTCGCGCGTCACAGAGTTGTTCAAGCGTTCGAGAAACGACGTGAGGGGTAGGCACACACGGTACACGCCGAGAAGTCACATCTTACGAGCAGGCACTTGCACACAGTGTGTGTCGTACACGATGAGATTTCACTTGGTCAGGAATCCCCGTAGGGTCATAAAAAAAAAAACACGCTCTCTCTAGAGAGAGGTTTGAGAGAGAGAGAAAAAGAGACGGACGAACTTCGAGCAACTTCAAGAGGTCTACAACACAACAACAATCGCTCACCCGTATCTCGAGAAACTTCGTTTGAGGATTCGCGCGCACAAGACACGGTCAACGGACGGCGGCGGAAAACTTTGCACGGAATTAATGTCGATCGAAGCAGAAGGCGTACAACGAGCCGGGAGGCCCAGCAAACTCGCAAACAACTCGAATATCACGTTCACGTCGTGACGGTCGCATCGAATCTGGGCCAGCAGTAGCGCGCCGATGAAAATAGCACAGCCGACGAGACAGCTTCGCCTTCCTCGCACGCTCGCCCCTCTTTTACTGTTCTATGTCGCGCGCGCTCTTATCCCCACCACCGCCACGACCGTGACGCTTCACCTCGCCGCCGCGCCGACCAATCATGGCTCTCCGTCGCCCCAGTGACGTCATTCGTGGCGAATAGCGATCGCTTCGAACAACGTCTGAACGCAAACAAACTCGAGAGAGTAATCTTGGTTTACCTTGCGTAATTTATGACCCGGAATCCAGCTGAACTTGACTCGAATACGCGACAACGTTCAAATATTTGAACTTGCTTGGATGCTGGGAGTTGATTTCAAAAATTCGATTGCTCTGAGTAACTAGTAACTTGCGTAATGGAATGAACTTATTACGTGATTTGTTTGAATCATGTAATAGATTTCTTTAAAATCTTAATGAGTTCGATATTTTTTAAATTTCACGTATATGTTACCTATAATATTTCAAGTTTTCTCACGAATAATTGTGATAATCGTAGTATCGATAGTACTCAATTTGGTTCAATGAAACAAATTATGTTCCACTTGAATTTTTAGCACTTTACAACTTCGACCTCTAGATATCTCCACCGATAATTATGTAATTCCATGATATCTTTATATAAAAAGTAACTTATCGCTTACGTACTTAACTAAATTATAAGAAATTAATTGATCTTTTAAATTGTTCACTTTACCTCTCTGTAGAATATTGAATATTTCAACAATGAAATAGTTAACACGAGAACCTTGTAAGATTTATTCTCACAAATAAAAGTTGATTCTTCGTATTGATTTACAACAAAATAGATCCTAACTTTTCTTAATTGTTCATCCGTTACGAGACATTTTTTTATAATTGCATAATGATTGATGTCTAACTCAATATTAAGATTCGGAAGATTTCAAGCATGCCCCACAATAACTTTTCTATTCATGGTGACATTAAAATTAAACAATCCGATCACTACAATAATTAATATTGATAAAGAAGTGGAAATCAGAAATCGCCTGATTTTAAGCGAAAATCAATTAAGATAGAGCGACATTACGTCGCCTAAACTTTAACCAGTCCAGACGGGTCGACATCGAAATATACGATTCCACGTGTTCCGATATAGATTATCACCGATAGTTTCCAATTCATAAATAACGTCGCATGTTTCTTCGTTAATACCCGTACGATTTTAATATGACAGTTTGCCAGCTGTAAATATTGTTACAAGATGAAGGTACTAGGAAAGTTATAAATTTACAATAAGTGCTACTTTAATAAGAAACTTTGAATATTTAATGAATCGAGTTTAATTAAACCGAGGCTTTTATTTTACTCAAATTTTGAATACTAAAAACAATGAAATTTTAGGTAAAATTTATGGGTTTATTGTTAACTTATTATCTTGTCTATACAATATCGACCACCTAATTTCTCTAAGTGTATAATTTTAATTAAAATCTGATCCACGCGTGATACGCTCCATTGCTAAGAGGTAATCTTAAGTAAGGATCTCTTATCTTCCACCTTTTTATTGTCAAACAATCACACTGTAGTGGTGCAAATATGATTTTTGCTTGCATATAATATTTAACGAGCAAATATAAACAAGAAGTAGATGCCACTTAAAAAAAAAATTGAAAATTGCATGTTTGTTTTATATAAAAATACCTGTAATGTATATTTATCAATAGAGAAATAATACTTCTTTTTTCTTTTCTATATAAAAGAATATCTAATAGCACTAATTCAAAAGGATGCTCAGTATATTTATAAAAAAAGCTATAGAACATACTGTCAAGTAATTATAGAATACTGACACTTTATAGAATATCAAATAATATTTCTATAACGTTTAAAAATATTCTGAACTTTCATTCCATTTGTAGCCTTACGCCTTTTTAATTGCTATTTTAAACTTGAACACTTTCCCGCGCTTGTGTGTTTGAAAAGTGGTGCGACTTTTAAAAAAAAAATCGAATTCGATTCGATTTTTTTTTCCACGTTATGTTTTCCCAGAAGAAAAATATTGTTCTTTTGGTAAAACCGTTACGATGTTTTTCAGACGAACCACGTAATACTACATTTTAAAAATTGTTAAAACATTGATGTTTTCAAACATCAGCTTCGAGGAAACACAAAAAATTATTCGAGCAAGCTGTAAGTCTGTATGTAAAGCATGCTAAAATCTTCCGTTTGTACAAGTTTTGTAAAAGTAAATGGTTGCAGTACCAGCCTGTTTTTGTAATCTAAATATGCCATTCTCTGACGTAGCATTACGTTCCTAAAAATAAGTCAATGTCGCGAATCTTTGACGTAAATTTACGTTTGTCTCGGAACAATTTATACCCATTAAAAAATTATATTAAATTCTGAAACTTCTTAACAAGTGTTTGAATTGGTAGTACATATTATAAACACGGTACCTTTGCGGAACATCAACGTTATGCAAACTAAATTTAACGCCTGATTATGTGATACATTCCGACACGCTGTGTTTGTTGAACACTGACATTATGTTAATTAAATTTAACACGCGATTAACTGATGATCAATTCTAACACGATACCGGCTATCGATTTCTTGTTAACTAAATTTAACGCTATACCGAATTCTCCGAATCAAGTCGAGTTAATTTTAATATTATTAAAATTATATACCTAATTTCAAAATTATATTATAAAATTATTATCGAGTGAAACTGTTTAATCTTGCTAATATGCAAAACATCCATGCAATATCAAGAAGAATAATTATGGAAAGATAAAGGAAATCGAAGGCTTTCTTTTATCGTCTACGATCAAATATACATATATCTATTCTTATCTACTTGTTACACCTAACTATTGTATCATAGAATACGAATTGATAAGCCGAAAGAATAGTGTAAAATTTAGAAAATGATAACGATAAATTAAAATTCTGGCTCTCTCCATGGTCCGCCATCCAAAGGGTTAAAGCCTTTGACGATAAAGCCACCCTTCCACCATCATGGTCTACGAAAATAATACGTTTCTATCTCTCTTACCCCCTTTATATAAGAATTTGAATGCTTGACAAATTTTCCACTCCTACAGTCTCGTCGGCGGCAATATAACGAGAGTCTACTGTATCATCATTCATAAATCATCGAATTCCAGGTACGATCTTCACCCGGTTCTAAAGTTCTCGATGCACTCTGTATAGCTTTCGATAAAAATCCTCGGTGAATCATGATAAGTGTGTCAACGTGCACGATAGCCGTACACGGCTGACCCTTTCGAAGTTGCACGCTATTGCATGGTGTTGCATAAGATTGCATAGTTTTCTACACTGAATGTATTGCGCAGGCCTAATAAACTTCTATTATCAAACATATTATTTCGTGGTCGTCGCAATATTTATGTGTAAGACGCACATTGTGCGTCGTCCTCTCTATGACGCACAAGGTGCGTCCCACGCTGTTTATTCAGCGCAACAGATGGCATAAGTTGCACAGATTATACGTTACGTATAATCTGATTAATAAAAGAAATATTTAGAAAAATTCTTCGACTGTATATCAACCGCGATAAGCCTAAAGAAACACATTATCTTTCCCCATAGAAATAATGTTTATGATAAAATTAGGTGAATCCACCTTGACCATTTACGTAGTCGAGTTTAGATCAATGTCGTCCTTGAGGAAAATTCGATTCAAAAGTGACCTTCTGGTAATTGTCCGAAAGAAACAAATTTAGCTCGCGTAACAAAACCTTAGGTGAACCAAACACAAATTGTTGGTCCGTGTTGGGTAAGCCTCTATCGGATATTTATAAATAGCCTCTTCGAAGGGATTAACCGATGCGTGGAAAACAGAACAGCCACGTGAAACAACGAAATGATAAGCTTTTTCAGAGAAGAACGTAGCGAAAAAAAAAGAAAAACAAAAAATTGCAGAAATAAAATCTATTACTCAACCCTTTTCCGAACTACTCCTTTTCATCTTCGAAAACAATCAATCAGTACCTATAATGATCGTTTGGAACGCCCTTTATCATCGAAAAGTATCTGGCGAAACGAAACTCCTCTCAGGCTTCAGCGAGTTTCGTGACGTCACGGCTAGAGGGTGGCAATGGGTGCAACAGCATTCGGGGGTGGCGCGTGGGCGTAGCAGGATGACGTCGGAACTACGTCACGAACGGTTACGTCATAGTTTGGGATGGTGCGTGGGAGTTTCGATTCGAAGCGGGGACGAAAGGGGGGACGATTCGACTACCCCTACACCTTTCTCATCCCCTGTTCTCCTGTCGTTCGCGAGCCTTCCATCGCACCCTCGCCGTTCCAGACGACCAACAGGGGATTGAACGAGCGTAGGGCGACGAACCACGGCCATTAGGCTCTGTTCACAGCGAAACCCTTTCAATTAAAATTTCATTGATCGCCCATTAGCCACTTTAAAAATACTATCGTCAGAAATTTTCTAACGTTTCTAAATTGAAAATTTCAGCATTTGTTTCATTTCTAAATTTATCCTTCACAAAGGATTTATGAGAATCGATTTGAAAGTATCAGAAAAATAATATACCTGTAATACTTGTTTCGTTGTTCTTGAAGTGTTTTATTCGCGAAAGCTTGTTTCGTTTACGAGGAAAGAAGTCACGGAACCGAGGTGATGGTTCGAATCGATATCCCAAGTAGGACACTGGGTTATTCGGTGAACGATGATAAGGGCCACCTCGAACCAAGGATCACGGCCGATAATGGTAAGAGTCATCGTAGAAAAATGTTAGAAATAACTCTGCGGGCCTAGCCCAGAATAGACGTCCGTGAAGTTAAGGTAAAACGTGGACCCTGGTAGGAGGGTCGAATTTTTCGAATAGAATAAAGAAAATGCAGTACTTGGAAGGCTTGAATAAAATTCACGAAACAAGATTAATACGTTCAGATAAAACCACATTCGCAATTTTAATTGCAAACGATTAATACTAATTTCAGAGATATTCTAACAAAGCGTGTTTATCAGGACAGATAATCGTAACGACAAACAAAACAGGTGGTATTAAAAAATGGAT